TTTGTTATTCTTAATAAATAATTTTTTATTTTTCATTTTTCATTACTGAAGTAATTTTAAAATAAATATTTTCATTTTAATTTAGTAAGAGATTTATATCCCCTTACGATAAATAGATGATTAAGCATTTTTAAATTTTCTTGATTTATTTTCTTTATATCTTGAAATCTATTTGATTTAAAAGAAAAAATGTTTAGAAAAAATTTAAAAAAAAAAAAAACTAGAACTATATACTTCTGTTTGGCTCACTTTTTGGTTTCAAGAATTTGTGAAATGTATATTGCATATATTCTATTTCTCTAATACACTGAGTAAATAATAATGTACCACCATGATCTAAAAAGTGGATTTCCATTATTAATTCAAATCATTCGCCTTACAATTTTCTTTTCTTTTACCTAAGTAAGTAAAGTAAAAAATAAATTTATTATTATTTTCATTATAGGTATGTATATATTTTTCTTGATTTGAGATTACGTGTAAACACCTCCGCCAGTCCCGTTGAGACCCGAACGACGATGCTACATTCGGTGTGGAGACCACCAAATACTTAACCTTAACATACAAATCATAAATTAGATTGAATTAGAAGTAATTGAATATTTACACAAGTTTAAGAACGAACGTAATATGTTTTTTTTTTATTAGATAATCATTTCATCTCGCCTTCCATCTCTTTTTTTTTTTTTTTTTAAAGTAGATTGGGAAAAAGTCCTACGAAAATACCGTACGAAGTTCTCTTTAAAAACTGAAGCTCGCCAAAAACATAAACGTGAATACAAAAACACTCCCCAATTAAACTCCAAACTCCAACATCTCCAAATAATCAATCATAACACCAACAGCACTTCTATAATTTTCATAAACTACTCAAAATCCTCAAAATAGCATTTTTAAATTCATCAATTAATTGCATTCAGTATATATAATCAAGTTCTTAATAAACTAGATCATACCAACCTCTCTTTGAAATATTTTTTTATTCAATCATAAATTAATGAATCTCATGCTTATCATCCAAATATATAACATTCAACAATAAGTGCTAATACATGCTTAAGTTATAATTCAAATAATCAACCTCCGAAAATATAATACTTATTACATGTTTCAATAATTCTAATTACATAAATCTCAAGCTACTACTACCACAATAGTAAAACTTCTGCTATGTTGCTACTCTTACTAGTTCATATCGAGCAGTCAACCACAGTCTTTAAACCTGCGCGTTGATAAAAATTCAAAACTCGCAACTGATATAAAAACTCAAGTGAGTGCTCATTAATTCACATACTTACTTAAAAAGTTGCGATGACACTTACTTAAAACACAAAATTACATAAAAATTTTCATTAAATTTCAATAGACAAATTACATTTATACAAAAAGAAATATCAAAATAAAACTAAAATTAATAACACAAACATAAAGAATTAAATTCTTTCAACTCATAAATCATTACTTGCACCATTTATTATTGGCCAATACATAAATAACATTATGTTTAAAACCATTCCGTACCAGAATATTAAGCTTTGAAAATTCATTTGACTAACATCATTAATCATTTATGCTTTTGAAAATTCATTTTGATAAACATATATCATTGGATTTACCAAGTAAGGTTTTAATAAAATAATAATAATCTCAAAAATCGTTCAATTCAAATTACTGTTTAGAAAGCAATAGCACTGATTATAAATACAAATATGTTCTTCCATTCTTTTTCATAGCAAAAATAAAATTTCATTTTCTGTTAAGGTTACGTACTCACTGCAGAATGAAACACCTATAAAGCAAGATTTAAGATCGATGGCCTATGGTTAGAAGTCCACGCTCCATCAATAACTCGTGGCCTATATAAAGCACTTACCCCCATCAAAACATATCGTAGGCCTAAAATGAAAGCACCAAACCCCATCACACAATCGGAATTAGCCCCTTCCATGAAAGCACCACCCCATCACCCCTACAAAATAAGCGCGGTGCGGGTGCCGGGTATTATTAAGGGCTGTATAACCCTAGTCTATAATGATCATAAGCTTCACATTAAACCAAAATTCAATCTCATCATATCACGTTTCAATAAAAACATTTGCATAGTAGAAGCCCATCACATCAAATAAGCGCAGATTTCCGCCTATTTTTATAAGGGCTTAAGATAACCTTAGCATATGATCATTTAGCTGTCAAATATAACAAATCTAATCTCATTTCATACCAGCATTTCAGATTCATGGGCATAATATAGCCCCATTCAAAATCATTGCTTTCATAAAAGCAAATAATTCTTAATCAAAACCTCATAATACATTACTTAAATACCTCCCATTTTCATTCAATATTTCTCAACTTAAACAATTAACAAAAATTACCGCTATTCTTCATACTGCCGATTAATATCTTGAAAAAATATACCTTAATATGATATTTATATACTAATTATAATTCTCTTCTCTTT